GAGCAGGGCGGTTGTGTGTGGTTGTATAGGAGAGCAGGGCGGTTGTGTGTGTGTGAAGGCGAGTAGGGGGTTGTGTGTGTGAAGGTGAGCAGGGCGGTTGTGTGTGGTTGTACAGGTGAGCAGGGCGGCTGTGTGTGTAGGTGAGTTTGGGGCTGTTTCTGTGTGCAGGTGAGTGGAGGAGGCGCGGGGCTGTCTCTCAGCTCTCCTGTCCTGGGCACGAGGAGGAAGGGGAGGCTGATGGGGACTCCAGGTGCAGGGTGGAGCCGAGCAGCGGCGCCCGCCAGGCTGCACAACAAGGAGAAGCACTTTCCGAGCTGGAGTCTGCCTAGTTCCGTTCTGCTGTTCTCACCGCTTTAGACCTTAACTAATATTTTCCACGTGTATTTTTGCATAAAATAAGCGTATTTGTACTGCAATCTTCTATAAATTCAGTGTCCAAGATTGAATTGTGTATTTCTTCTACTTTTTTTTTTTAAAGAAAAACCAAATTGGCAGGAACCTAGATCACACACAATTAGGTGATCCTTTCATGTCTCTGAGAAACCGTCCACCCTGCAGCCCGTGCTGCCTGGACTCGAGTTGCTCAGCGAGGGCGTGCCCGCAGACGCCATGCCCAGCAGAAGGGCGTGCACTCCGAGGAGTGCGCAGGTTGGGGAAGGCCAGAACTGCCCGGGAGCCGAGCTGCTCCTCTGAGCTGAGCTGCACACGGGTGAGGAGCAGCCCTTGAGCAAGTCCACAGGAGCCCACGCCCGCCAGGGCCCGAGGCCTCAGCGCCTGGGGCATGTGGGCAGGAAGTGGTGTGAGCAGCAGTGACCCTGCGGGCGCCGTGAAGGGCCCCTGCCATCGCAGGGGTGACTTGCCGGATGCCCCGCAGGCCAGGACCAAACCTCCTGATGTGTCCGAGTCCATAACCTCTGCTCTTAGCCCCAGCGCACGTGGTGGGGGCTTCCCTCAGCGCCGTGCTGGCGCCAGGCCTCTGCGGAGCTGCCTCCCCGCGGCAGCGCTGGCAGGTGTAACGTCCGTCCTTGGCCGTGACACCGCGCAGGCGAACCAGTTGGGATTTGGCACCCACTCGGGGCGTTTGGGGGCCGCAGTGCTGTGAGTTACTGTGACCATACCCATCTCGGCACCATGCATTTGGGCCACAGCCTGACAACAGTCAGCTCTGCTTGTTCTGTGAAACACAGTGGAGGCAGTTCTGACCTTTTTATTCTTACTTTTTCCTTCTAAGAATGCCTGTGTTGAAACCCGGCTGGACGCATGCCTGGTCTGGTTGCTCTTTCGGCTCCGAGTGGTGACCTGTGCCCTCTCTCCGCAGATGCCGCTCCTACGAGGACTGCTGCGGTGCCCGGTGCTGCGTGCGGGCCCTGTCCATACAGCGGCTGTGGTACTTCTGGTAGGTCACACTCTTCTCGTTGTGGGCCTCCACCACTCCCCCACCCTGAGATCTCTGCCCGTCAGCTCCATCACACCCTCAGCTGCGTCACCTACACCTCGGCGATGGCCTTGGGGATGGCCTTGGTCAAGAAAACAGGTCTGTTTAGTTGGCATTGTGGCAGGCAGCTGTGCCTGTGGCATTTGCAGAAAGCCCGTTCCATCTCTGCAGGCTTTCCGGTGGATGATAGCAGCGGGCCCTTAGCCAGTTTCTGAAATGCAGCCGAGGCTGCTGTTATGTATAAGCAGCAGGTTGAGACTGGAGATGCCCCATTCTCCCATGTTGGCAGAATCTTTGCTCGCAAGACAGGCAGCTTGTGTTCTTATCCCTCCCGCTGCTCTTGAGGGAAGCACGCAGAGTGGTCTGGAGCGTATCAGACTGTGCACGAGAAGCGCAAGGATGGTGCCCGCAGAAGGTGTCTCTCTCTATTAAAGGGGGAGCCCGGTGTGGCTGGTGGTCCTCGGGGGATGCCTGCTGGGGCGTGTGTGGGTGGAGGACGGGCTGCTTCAGTGGTGGGTGGCAGAGCACACGTGCGGCAGCACCGTCTCCCAGCAGTGGTGATCCTTCAGGTACACTCCACAGAGGTTAAGTCTGCTGCCTTTATGACTTTAAGATTCTGTCTTTAATGACTTTTTAAGACATTAAGACCTTACTTAGCCTGTTATAGCAGCCACTTGAGCTTTTTGGTGAAGTTTTGTCTTTCCCTGTTGACAACTGTGCCCAGGGTTTGATCAGGGAAGACAGTGGGGAGTAGGGACTCCGAGTGTCGCACGGCCTGTGTGCTCTTTAGCTGTAGTGGCTTCTTTCATCATCACCATCACCACCTTCTCGATAGATTTTTAGACATTTCGAGGCTGGGCCTCCCCTGTCACCTTAGCCGCCAGCCAGGCCTCCCTTAGGAGCGGCTCAGGTGGCCCTGCGGTGCACCCCCTGGACAGGGTGTGGTGTCAGCTCCTCCCCACCTCATGGTTGCTGGTGCCTAAAGCTCTATGATAGAATATGAATGTTTTTTAGCCTAAGATTTTCCAAACCTAAACACCTCTGTATACATCTCGAGGGAAGCGACCAGAACCCCAGTGGGGGAGAGGAGGCTGGGGCAGGCGGCACAGGGGAGCACCGCTGGGCGTCAGGGCAGGCTCTCGCCGCTTGCTCCTCCCTGGGGCCAGGGGAGGAAGGAGGCAGACTGTCTGGGGTAGGAAAGCTGGGTCCTGAAAGGTTTGTGAGAATGCCGGGTTGGTCTGAAGCTCCAGATGAGTGATGATGATGAGGTTGTGGGAATGCTCCTAAAAATGAAAAATCTTGTCAAAGTTCAGGCATTATATGAGCAGAACAAAAAAACAATTGAGAGAGTCCGGAAGACCTGGTCGGGCCTGGTAACTTCCTTGGGCTTCTCAGGAAGCTTTTTCTGCACTGGCAGCCGGGTGCTCTGGAGCGGTCGGCCAGAGTCCAAGTCAGAGGCAGGGCGCCTCCACGAGCCAGCACAGAAGGGCTGGCCAGAGTCTACGCAGAGACTCCATGGTGAGTCCCATCTAGTGAAATCAGGCTCTTGCAGGGTCAGAGTGCCAGATGATTTGGTCACGTTATTAGCGTTGAGATTCTGACACAAGGCTCCAAACTGGGGACAGAACCAGAGAACACCTTGCGACGGGACCTTGCACTGCCCCAGCTGAAACGCAGAGGGTGCAGGGTTCCGTCGTGTGCCCCCTCAGGAAACACCGAGTGCCCATGTGCACCGGGTTCTGCAAGGTCCCTGGGGAGGCCTCACGGCATTCAGACTCCCGAAAGAGACAGCAGATAATTACATGTGGATAGTTTTAAGCCAGAGCACAGAGCCGCTGATTCCAGAAAAGTTGGGAAAAGCTACAAACCTTTTGCCTGGGTTTTCAGAGAGGGCATTTGGGACAAAGGCACAGCACCTTGCAGAGACAGGGGTGTAAGAAGAGTGGACGTGGTAAGAGTGATGTGGAGAGGAAGGAGCAGCTGCTCTGAAGCCTGGGCCCTTCTGTCCCCTACCATAAAACAAAGGTTTTGAAGAAGAATGCTTTCAAAGGTTCCTGCCAGCTCCAAAATCTTGAGTGATCTTTCTCAAGGGAGGTCTGAGTGGAATCGCCGGGACTGGGTGACGACCAGCACCCCGAAGTGGCAGCCTGAGTGGGCGAGCTGCTGCGGGGTCGCACGGGGACCGGGCAGGGGACGGGGCATGGTCGGGCAGGAGCTGCAGAGGTGAGAACTGCTGCACTCAGGCCTGGGGCGGTGAGGAGGAGTAAAAAACCAAAGGGAATTGAAGACACCAGGTTAATTCTGATGACAGTAATGGCACAGACCTTCTCCCTGTGTCCTTAGAAAGCTGTCAAAACCTGTCAAAACCTGTCGAGCAAACAAAGGGGACACCTTTTGAGCAATGACCTGTGGCTCTAGCACTTTGAGAACTGCTCTTACTGGGACCCTTGCTTCCCCCAGCGGACAGCTGCTCCCCTCTCTCCTTGTTCTCATGAGCGCCTCTCCTGCCCCGTCCCCTGCCTGGTCCTCGTGCGACCCCGCAGCAGCTCGCCCACTCAGGCTGCCACTTTGGGGTGCTGGTCGTCACCCAGTCCTGCGATTCCACTCAGACCTCCCTCGCGAAAGATCACTCAAGATTTTGGAGCTGGCAGGAACCTTTGAAAGCATTCTTCTCTTTTAACCACTTGGGTGCGGCGCTCACCCACCAGAAACCTCGCCCACAGCCGGCACTCACGGTCCGCATGATAGTTGTGCTGTGCAGACTATCCGTTGACTACGGATCCGTTCTGCTCTCGTGTGATGAGGAAAGCTTGAAAGCACTGAAAACTTGTTTTGCTTTACAGGCAGCTTTACTTGTAATGTCAATCATAATAGGTAACCTGTACATATATGTTTTCATGACATTATTTTTAAATGTTCGCAATTTTATTTTGATAACTGAAAAATTAGAAAAGCCATATCACGGCTGTCGGCTAATGTCGCTGTGCGCGTCCATCTGTGGCTGTCGGCTCCAGTCGACGCTGGTACCGAAGTGGTTAAAGCAAGTCCTCAGACTGACCTTCTGGTAAGGAGTGAGTCAGACAGTGAGTGACCCCCAAACCCCGTGACCCTGCTCTGCCCCCGCCTCATGCCTGCTTGTTGTCTGCCCTAAAGTGTGAGGTGCAATGCCATTTTTCTTTGTCTAGGATAAAAATATGTTCCACTGGGCAATGTGACCAACATCCTGGCTTACCTCACGGGAGAGGCCAGGAGTTCAGGTGGCTTCTGCATCTTTGAATCTGGGCAGATGATCTCGTGGGAGTGACTAGTAGTGTTCCTTGAGAAAGTAAACCCTGTATGTTTTGGCCTCTCAATGCTTTATATATTTCTACTCAGATATTTACCAATGGACTTGATGTTGAATGTGAGCTTTTCGCTGAGTCCACCTGAGGGAAATTCGTTGTAAGAGTAGAAGCTGCTCCCTTTGCAATTCGGCACCCTTAGCACTGGCATCTCCTCCCTGTGCCAGCTCCTGCAAGGCTCAGAGCCTTCCTGCTCCCCGACACTGCACCTCATTGCCCCTCCACACGGCCGCTTCTGGGGCTGCTCACACCAGCTTCTCTGGCCCTGGTGCGTTGGCCTGTGCTGTTCTCTGCACCCGGAATACCCCTCCTTCCCCTCAGCGTGCCTCTTCTCATCCTTTGGGACCCCGGTCAGAAGTGGCTGAAGGAAAAGAAGCTTCTCTGGTCCTCCTCACTACCACAGTTACCTTGGTCAACACCTCTTGGCGCACTGAATTGCACACTTGCAGATGGTTAAAAGGGCACATCATATGTTATGTATGTTTTACCCTCACACGCAGTTGTTTCCTGTGTGTGTCGTCTCTCACTAGAGGACAGATCGCACATGCCAGTCCCAGCCCTTTCCTGGGTCACTGCCTGTCTGTGCGTCTGATTTTCCTCCCCGCACAGTGCTCCAAGGGGTTATCCAGTAAACATTCATTGCCCGACGGTGGCCTTGCTCTTAACCTCGTACTAATATTCTCAAAGGCTTTCTCGTAACCCTTTCCTTCAATCTCTGTAGTGTGTGGAATGGTGCCACTGCCCGTGAGCAGCTCTGCTGTGTGCTCAGCCATGCCAGGGCAGCAGCCGCCTGCACAGGGGCCTGTGTTGTGTGGGGTTCTGGAAGGCTCCATGGATCCCACTGTCATTTCAGTTTGGAGATGGGCCAGAGTTCTCAGTTTTATCTGTTGTTTGTCTGTTATTTTTGGACCTTCTCAGAGTGACATCCCCTCTTATAGAAACAAAAGGTGTAGGGCCAGTGGGAAACAGAGGAAGTCACTCATTTGTTTATACTGCACTAGCTCACCAAATGTGATGAAGTGACAGTCAGTGAGAATTCCTAGAGGAACTGAACAAAAGTCCAATCCTTAAAGCGCTCAGCTGTACTGTGGGGCCAAGCTAGGGAGACTGCTCAGCCGTGAGCATTCTAGAGTTTTCTAACCTAGAGTTTTCTAAGTCTTCAGCTTTTTTATTGATTGTGTTTTCTCTATTCCTGTAGTTTCCCCGTCATTAAAGCATGCTCTAGGAAGGGTACTTTTGTTTCTTTGTGGGCGTCCGTGATAAATGGAGATACAGCTGTGAGGAAAGATGAATGTGCTCACCCTTGGTGCTTTGACAGTGAAGAATGGCATCTGAGGAAACAGCCAGCCGAGGGCTGGATCAGCGTGGTGCTCAGACACGATTTAGATGGCATCTCCTGTTGACTAAAGGTTGAGTGCACTCCCCTGGCCAGGCGCACTCTGGAGTCACTGTTCCCAGATCCAAGGGAGTCCCCAGGTCTTCGAACCCAGGGGCTGCCTCCTCGGGGCCTCCACCTGAGCCACCCTCACGTCTGTGCTCTCTGCAGGTTCCTCCTGATGATGGGCGTGCTCTTCTGCTGTGGAGCTGGCTTCTTCATCCGGAGGCGCATGTACCCACCGCCGCTGATCGAGGAGCCCAACTTCAACGTGTCCTACACCAGGCAGCCCCCCAACCCTGCCCCAGGTCAGCAAGCCCTGTCCTGCCTCCCCTTCCTGCAGTTTGTGTGTCCTCTGCAAACATTCATAAAGAGTACTGCCCAGAATATGCTAGAAGTGGGAACACTCAGACCATTTTATTCATTTAAGTTCTGAGGATCATTGTATATTTGTGCTGTTAAGAAATGTGTCATATATTAGATTATATGCCTGTCACCTCATATTCTTACATAATTATTGATGCACCTTATATGGATTTTATATAGTTTGTATATACATATTATTTGCTCTCTGCCTTTTTTCTTAAAAATTATTTCATGTACAAATTTCTATGTAGGAACAGTAATGTCCCTGCCATTCTTAATGCCTCGGAACTAAATATTAATTATATTACTAAATGGTAATTTGGTTAGATATTTTATTATTGCTGATAATCTTTTTGCCTTTTATTCATTCATTCATTCAACAAGTATTTATTATGTATTGCTAGCATTCTGAGTACTTATGAACAGTGCAGCTATTGACATTTTTTTACAAGTTACATTTGGCCTATTTAGGATTTGTCATCCGAATTGATGTCCCAAGGTGAAAGAGAATTAGCTGTTTCTTGACTCATAAAACATTGCCTTAACTAACTAAAACTCCCACAACTGGGGTGGGTGATGTGGGCTCCCTTAGGGCACGGGCTCTCTTAGGACACAGGGCCCTAGTTTTGACATTGTGTTTGAGGTGTCCCCTTTCCCCACAGGGGAGCCCAGGCCCCGGAGGGCTGAGCAGGCACCACGCAGGAGAGCTCTGGTCTTCGGGGCAGGTGTGTGGTGAGGCTGCGGCAGATGTCGCTGGTGTCTGTGCTGCTCTGTGACTGCACACAACAGTAGGCAGTCGATTCTAGGAGCAGTTAGTTCTTGCCTTGTCTTTTACAGAGTTTCAGTTAAGAGAAATAAATAAGTCCTAGAGATCCACATATAGGGCCTACGATTAATGAACTATAGTGGATAAATAAAAATTTGCTAAGAGGGTAGGCTCTATGTTCAGTGTTCTTCTCACACACCCAAATCATACTAAGGGGGCAGAGAAAACTTTTGGAGGTGACAGATAATTTATGGCATAGATTGTGGTGCTGGTTTTGTGGATGTAGCCTTGTCTCTAAACTCTTAAGTTACATACATTAAATACACACAGGTTTTTGTATGTTAGTCATACCTCAATAAAGTGGCTTAAAATAAGAGAAAAGTAGAGACTTTTTATAAAAGGAGAAAATATTCTTCTGTCTTCTGTTCTCCTGAGCACAGGCTGTTCTCAAAATGCAAAGTCATTTGTGTATTTTTTCTTCTACAATTTTCCTCCACTAGTGATTCCACAGGGTTTTCCTTTCAAAAAATTTTTATTATTTTTAAAAATGTTACTCAGAAAGCTATGAATATAGCCAAGGTGGGCGGATTGTTTGAGGTCAGGAGTTTGAGACCAGCCTGAGCAAGACCATCTCTACTAAAAAAAAAAGGAAGAAAGAAATTAGCTAGACAACTAAAAATATATAGAGAAAAAATTAGGTGTTGTGACACAAGCCTGTAGTCCCAGCTACTCGGGAGGCTGAGGCAGAAGGATCGCTTGAGCCCAGGAGTTTGAGGTTGCTATGAGCTAGGCTGACGCCACTGTAGTCTACCCTGGGCAACCGAGTGAGACTCTGTCTCAAAAAAATAAAAACAAAAAGCTTGAATGTATATATTTCCACAGCAGTTCAGTGGGAGCCATGCCTTAAACTTTCACTCAGGGTTAGTACCATTTTGTATCCATAAGTGGATTTTAGTCTTTCACATCTGTAAATATTTGAATAGTTTCAAATTTGTGCTCTGTCCTGGGTAAAGTATAGATTTTCAGTACAGATAAAATGGGAGGTGAAAGTCAGCACTCACTGGATTTCATCTGGAACAGACAGAGAGATTTTAGCACAGGTGGGGATAGCCCATGCCCCACTGGGTGTATCGGCCCTGGGGCCCGCCCAGGCAGGAGGCCACTTCCCTGGTCTGTGGTGCTGTCACTCCTTCATGCCTGTGAACTCTGGGGCCCAGAGATGAGCGTGGGACACGATGAGACCTGTGCTTCTAGCTGTGTAGGCCCCCTTGAATGTCCCCTGGCATCTCTGTTCCTAGAAGAGACTGTGTCCTGGTGTGCTCTGCACAGCGGCGCGCCCTGTCTGTCTGGTGGAAGCCCCAGCAGCGGGGCCAGCAGGTACCCCCAGGTCCTACTCCAGCCCCTCAGCTCACTGCAGCAGCGCCTGCTCACAGTCTCCTGACACTGCTCTCCACCCGCCTCTGTCTTCAACATGGCCACCAGAGAGTGCTTAAAAAACAAAAAGAAAAACACATAGGTCACGTTACTCCTCTGCCTCAGAGTCTCTGCCAGCTCATGTTGCTCGTACTTAATTCCAGACTCCTTAGCCACTCCCTGCCTCCTGGCCCCTCTGTCCAGTCCTGCTGTAGTGCTGGGCCCTGTGCAACCCTCCCCCTGGATGAAAAACACCCACTCTTCCCCCAGCATGCTGCTCTGTCTTGTCCCCACAGCGAAACCAGCCTTGGCCATTTCCTTTCCTCTGGTCTCTCCCCAGGTGCTCTGTCAGGTCCTCTAACAGCTCTTACTGTGTTGGGCTTTGGTCCTTCACGTATGCCCTGGGCGCTTCCACCAGGACTCATGTCTCTCGCACCAAGCAGCTGCCTGGCCATGTCCTCGGGCCATGTGAAGGGCGGGTGCCCATGGTTTGCAGCTTGGTAAGCCTGGGTTGGGGTACATTGTGGCCACACTCGGAGCCTGAAGCCTGGGCCCGCCTGAAGTGTCCTCTTGGCCCATATTACTGCACACCTGCTCAGGCACCTGGAGAAGCTGAGGACACCAGTGCACAGCCTGGATCCAGCCCTCACTGGACTGTGTGCCCTGCACTGCTTGTATACCACGGGTAGCCCTGGGCACTTGCACAAATAGCTACATAGTTACCATTATGGAGCTATGGAGAAAAGTCCAGAAAAGAACCATGTAAGTGGGAAACTGCATCTGGTGCACAGACCCAAGAGAGCATGAAAGGGCTCTTTGGACTGGAGAGTGAGGCTGGTTTGTGAGGCAGGGAAGGGGTGGAGGCTGCCAGCTGCCAGGTGAGGCCCATGGTCTTGCTTTCCCATCAGTTGCCCAGAGACTCCTGAGCTACAGAGCCCTACACGGCTGCCGTCGGTCCCAGCAGCCCCAGTGCTGGGTCAGTTCTGAAGGTGATTTAAGCGTAAGAACGGAGGGGAGGAGGGTCACCAACCAGAAAACGTTGAGTACCTCTAGAAGAACGAGTGGGGATTTTGCCGGGGGCAGTGCGCAGCCTCTCGTGCATGTCGTGGAGGGTGGACAGCCGGATGCACCATCAGAGAGTGGGGAAGAAGCAACCAGCTCCACGTCGCAGTGTCCATGGAAGCATTCTGAAAAGCGGGAGCTATGGATTTTCCAGGACCACCAGTGATGCAGATGGCATCAGAGCTGATTGGAGAAGCCAGGCCAACGCCTGGGGAAGACGCTGACCTGGCCCCGCTCTCTGCAGCAACTGCCGCTCGCCACAGGCGCGTCATCTTCTCTGACCAAAATGCAGACTTGATTTGCCTTGCCCTTCCACTTTATACTTCTGACAGGCCCGTGACAGTGTGAAATGGGAGATCCCTAAATATGCCAGAGTTGTCATGAAGACGGAAACTCACGGGAGTGTGCAGTTTCCCTAATTCACTGCAACATCAAGGGCTGTTATCATTTGTTAATAGCAGTAAGCTTGGGAAGAATTTAACTGCTTTGATTTGACTCAAATCAAATAGTAATGTCATATTGAGACATAGTAAACATTGAAAATAAAAAGAGGGCCTGTTGTTTTCTGCATGCTTCTGGGCTGGACACCCTGCTCATTCCAAGGATGGGGATTATCCCCACTACAGCCGAGTGCTGAGGTCCCCTGGCATCTGGGACTTGGCAGTCCTTGGGAGTGTGGGATCCGGAGGCTGGTAGGGCTCTGCAAACTAGAGGAGAGAAACCAGGTGCACGGGCCTCCTACAGTGGCCATGGGTGTATATCACACCTGGAGATCTGGTCAGTGTGGGAAATACAGGTGTCTGCATAAGTCAACGGTGGTCATTTGTGAACTTCTTGGGGGCCTCCACTTTTCTTCTGCTGGTCTGAGTGAGAGGAAGTGAATTCTGTGCCTGTCAATGCAGAAGAAAAGGAAGAAGGTTTTAAGAAACCAAAACTCACCCACTGGGGGCAGGGAGAAGGCGGCAGCTCATACTCTGGGGTGCAGATGGGCTTGTAGTCCTGCTGGGACCAGTATTCAAGTCCATTGTCACTGGTAAGTGCTGAAAAGAATCAGAAAATTAGCACATTGCAAAGATACTCCTAATTGGGGAAGGTGGAATGTGGCAGCATTGTGGTTGGGGACGGGGTAAGTGTGGGTTGGGGCAGGACCAAGAGTGTAGTAGGAATAGATACGAGCCTGAGGTGCAGAGGTGGGGCTCCAGGCCAGCCTGGGAACCAAAAGAAACAAAGGCTGAAGCTGCTGGTTAAAGGGCTTAGTGCCTGATGGAGCTATGCAGAGGACAGAGTGGAAGTACGTGGAGTAGCTGCGGGAGTGGGGTGCAGCCGCAGGGGTGTGGAGTAGCTGCGGGAGAGGAGTATAGCACCAGGGGTGTGGAGTAGCTGCGGAAGAGGAGTATAGCACCAGGGGTGTGGAGTAGCTGCGGGAGTGGGGTGCAGCCGCAGGGGTGTGGAGTAGCTGCAGGAGTAGGGAGAGGCTGTGTCGAGGGAATAACAAGAGGCACCAGACAAGGAAGTTAGAGGGCCTGAGGGCTGTAAGACCCAGCGTGGTCCAAGTCTCTTCTGAGCCTCAGCACCTCACCTACAATAGGCAGCTGTATGGAGAAAAGCGCCCTTGCCCTGTTTAGTCTGCACCTGCCACTGAGAAAGTGGGAGCCCCCTCCATGCTGCAGCCCCAGATCTTTCAGGTCAGGCTCTGGCAGGGCCCCATCAGTGTGCCCTCTATGGTAGAGAGGAAAAATAGCCTGCCTGCCTCCCTCTCCTCCCTCCTCTTCCTCTCCTCTTTCTCTCTCCCTCCTCTCTCCCTCCCCTCCTTCGTTCACTCATTCAGAAAACATTAGCTAAGTGGCTCCAGATGCTGTGTTCACACAGTTGGAGGTTCTGTGTGAGCATCCTTGGGACCCTGGAGATGAGTGGGAAAACAGCACTGAAGATCCAGGCAGAGGCCCAGCGCAGGTCTTGGGGGTAGAGCTGGCCTTCGGGAAGACCTCAGGGCTGAATATGGGGGGATAGTTGACTACAGAGGAGAAGATGAGGAAGTTATGGTCTGTCTTCTTTGTGCAGTACTATGTGGCCACCAGAGCTGATGGGCAAGATAAGGACTGCAGACCGTGTGGCCAGGCAGTGGAGAGGCACTTGGCCAGGGTTTCTGCAGAGCTGCCCTGAGGCCAGCAGTCATTACATAAATGCATGGGAGATGGCAGGGATGGGCAGGAATGAGATGTGGTGTTGATGTGATTTAAGGTTTCTTTAAAAATTATTTCCCTTAATGTGACTAGTATTGATTTCTTTTACAAATAAAGTAGGAGTACATAGAGTATGCCCATTGGAAGGTAGTTTTCTTCCTTTCTGGGTGTATTTGTGGTGAGTTGGTTGATGGTTTCCTAGAGTTCTGATGTCTCAATCCTTTAATAAACCTGTCAGCCTGCAGCGACAGTGGTGGCCTGACTAAATGACACCAACAGCAAGAAAAGGAAAACAGGAAGGGTGCTTTGACAGTCTAAATACCCACCAAGTCAGAGGCGACGCACAAACAGGGCTGCTCTGGCTGAGGACATCTGGTTTCAGCGCTGGTGGAGTAAGTGTGATTTCTTTCCACTGAGACAGTGCTTCACATGTGCAGGGTCTCAGCCCTGCAGTCACCCCTCCCGTCCTCAGCCCCTATGGCTCTGACATTTCTATTCTTGATTTCTGGGTTTTGTTCTTGAAGAATCAGTGGGGTGAAAGGACCAGGCTGTGCAGGCTCGGGGAGCAGTGGAGGACAGTGCTCCCTGGGAACTAGCACCCACTGTGTGCCGCTCTGAGTGGCCTCTTTCACAATTGAATTATTATTGAGTTTATGGTTTTGGTGAAAGAAACTAACTGGAAACATTTCAAGTTGCTTATAAATTGCAAATTCCAATCTATTCATATACTCTCGTAGCTACCAGAATATTCCTTACCAATTCATCCCTGAATGCAGAGGAGTGCTGGATGACCAGGAAATTGGGGTGAGGGTATGGGTGTGAGCCAGGGAATTGGGGCCACTGCACAACCTGGCATTCCTCCTGGCAAGCCAGGGGCAGGTTCCCACCACACTCACTGTGTGGGTCTGTCTGACTTTCTGTGTGTGTCTCCTGCCGTCATTCCTCCTCTGTGATCTCTTTCCAGCTCTGATGCTGTTCCTTCCCTTCCCAAAATTCGTATCACGATCTGCATGATCCAGTTTGCATACAGTAGATACATCTAAAATGTTCTGCCATATAAAAGTAGGAGGTGGTTTTTGGTTTTGGTTCCTATGTAAAAGTATTTAATGTCCCTGGCCACTGTGAATAGTGACAGATAATACACTTTGCACAGATTATATTTCCAAAAGAAAGGCATTTTTTTTACTGCCTTTCCTGTTAGTAATGATATCATTACATTAATCACAACAAACCACTCTCATGTCTGTACACTTCTGTGATCAGTGGGAACAGAAACATCCAGCAGTTTATGTCCCTTGCCTCTTGTACTCTGCTTGGCTCATGATAAGCCTGAACAGAGCCTGAGCCTGTTGCCTGTCCCCATCCACGTTCTTGGGGGTGGGGGCCCATCTCAGGGAGGGTGACGCAGGTGCCAAGGGTCTTCCTCGTGTGCATTAAGGAAGGCAGAGCCGGGTCCGATGGACTGCACGCCGGCAGTCTCCTTCAGAGCACCGTCTGGTTTCCACCTCTGGAAGCCGCCTCCTGACACTGTCATCCTGAACTCTTCTCCTTTAACGCATTTGAACGGCTGTTCCTGGTCCGGGTGGGGGCGGGGTGGGAGTCGGGAAACTGCAGCCAAACAAGATGGGGCTCCTCATGCAGGAGGCACTGTGCCCACACGCCCACCTCTGGCCTGTCGCCTACCTCTGGCCTGTCGGATGCTCCCTGAGTGCCTGCCCTGTGCTGGCGCCCAGTGGCTGCAGGGCGCGTGAGCCGGAAGTGGGGGACTCTGAGGTTTGAAGTCCTCAATACACAGTCACATTGCCTGTAGAACTTGAGCAAAATAGACATTTTCGATTTCATCTGCCTTTTACCTTCTCAGTTAACCTTAAATAAACTTTGTTTCCTCTAAAATGTTTTCTGTTTTTTTGGAAGACTTTCAATGATGTGGGAAAATACTTCAAAAGGACGTGAAGTAGTGTTTTTCCGTCTGCTGTTTGCTGTGTGTCTGTATTTTAAGCCCTGATTCTCTGCAGAGGAGCAGCCAGCATGCTGGAAGCCTCTGGCTGCTGGCCTGCAGTGGTGACAGTTGTGAACAAAGGGAGGGAGCCCTGAACCAGGTGCAAACCCAAGGGGGATGTTTTATTAATTCCTTTGATCTGTCCTAGGCAAAAAATCATGAGGTCACAGAATCTTAGGGCTGGACCTAAACAAACAGAAGCTTTGCAACATTTTAAACTATTTCTGGTAATTATATTTTTTTAGCAGTGTTTTTTTTATTATTTGGGGACTGTCGCATGTGTTTTGGGCCCGTGCAAGGCTTCATATTGCTAGTGGGGAAAAGGGGGAACACGATATTTCAGTCTCCTAGGACAGCCCTAACAAAGTCCTGTACAATAAGTGGCTTACAAATAGCAAAAACTTATTTTTCCCACAGTTCTAGAGGCCAAGGTCCCAAATCAGAGTTTCAGCAGGGCTGGCTCTTTCTGGAGACCTCAAGGGGGAATTAGTAATTGTTTATGATATTCTTTCAAGTCTTTTAAAGCAGCAGTTGTCTTTTTAGTTATTTTTCCCTTTTCATTCTATTTTATGGGGTACCTTTTCTTTCCTTTTTTTCTTAATTCATTTTGCTGTTGTCTTTGCTGTTATCTCTGCTGTTATCTTACCATTAATATTAATATCTCAAGGAAAAAAAATGTGAAAGCCTCTGAGAGCTGAATGGAATCTTTGGGGCACCCGGGCCCAGACCCCTGTGTGTCTGCAGCCTCCACAGCCAGGCCCTGCGTCACCCAAAAGCCTCAGGGCGTGAGGCGAGCTCTGCCCAGCGTGCCCGCCCACAGGCTTCTGTGTGGAGGAGCCCATGGTACGGGAAACAGGCAGGGTGCGGGTTTCCCAAGATTTAGTAAGAAACAGCAGCCAAGTGGTGGGAGGAAGTGCACAGGGCTGATTTCCACAAAAGGAATCTGATGCTGTGGTTCAACAGTTTATTTTGTCTTTAGAGTATGTGCCCTTGGAATCAAAGCAACACAGCCACACTCTAAATCACTGTCAAAGGTAGTAATAGAAGTTAAAAAAAAGTGGGGGGGGGCAAGACAACACAAGAAGCAGCAAGGAAACACACAAGCAAAATACAGCAGCAGAGGAAGACAGCCCACAGTTGATGTGGCAGTGAAGGTGCATGTTCTAGAACTTTTTGTAAGAAAAAAAAAGATTAAATTGCTAAAATCAAAATCCAGTTATATACTGCTTTAATGATAGGTGCTGAAGAGCATGACATGGAAAAGTAACAAAGATTCATTAGAGGGTGTTTGGCAAAGAAGGGGCATGAACACTGAAGGTGTTTTGAAGTTGATTTGAGAGCCACACAGGAGAGCTTTTGGGAAGAGAATCACAGATTCTCTAGGAAAAGGACCTGGAGAGACGACTGGTGCATCTCTGGGAGAGGGCCCTCGGTTCGGGCAGGGGCTAGTGGAGCCGGAGCAGCAGTGGGTCTGGCTTGGTGCTCTCAGGACTTGCTGGAGTGTTGCTGACTTGGGTTCCATCTGCAATAAGGATGGTAATAACAATGTGTCACAAAGTCTCTGGCTCTTTTTCCTCAAGTGTGGGCTGAAGACACTCGTGGTCCCTGGGAGCTTGCTAGAAGTGCAGGCTCTGCTGTGTCAGGCCTGAGCTCATACAGGACCCGGATGACTTGGGGAAGTTGGTGCCTGCACAGAGTAGGGCTGCAGGGTGAGTGTGAAGCGCCGGCCCTGGGCCGCGGTGGCAGGAGGAAGCACTTGGAAATTCACAGGACTGGAGTGAAAGTCAGTCCTTGCCTCTGATGGCTTTTGCTGCAGTTTAGCAAAGTGAATAGATACAACATAAAACTTAGACCAGAAGGCTGAGCAGAGGATGGGCCAGTTGTGGAGGGATGATCTGTTGATTCTGAAGAGTCTCTGGGGAATTAGTTCAGTGCTTTTGGCTGCAAGTGACAATGCCCCAGTTCGGCCAGTTTGAAAAACAAGGCAGTCATCTTGATACAGAAAATGTCGGGCGCTGGGACGCGGCTGCTTGCCACCTCCCCATCGGTCCGCATCTCCGTGGGCCAGCGCTGCGTGTGGCCAGTTGGAGGGCACGCTTCTGGGGCCGGGCCCGCGGCAGCCGCCTGGGGACCCGCGTGCTGCCAGGGCCCCGCGTGCTGGAATGCCCCCAGGACCGCGTGCTGCTGCCTGTTTCCTGCCACACTGCTTGCGTGGTCCTGATTGGGTAATTTTTGAATCCCACTATTGTTGATTGGATGTTAAAGTTTGTTGTTGATTGGATGTTAAAGCTTGATGTTGATTGGATGCTTTTTGAGCCCTACCTGGGTATAAAAGCAGGAGGAGAACAAGGAAGGGGGCAGAAGGGCCAGAAGATCGGAAGACAGGAAGAGAGCTGTAACACTAGGTGTGCTGAGCCTGCTGGGGAGGAACAAAGGCTGTTCTCTGACTCTTCGTGTGCCGCTCGTTTCTTTCCTCAGTCAAGAGCTGTAACACTAGCTGTGCACGTTGCTGCAACAATCTCTTGTGCAAAAAGTCACATGGTGGCAGGTCCCTGGTGTAACCCTGCAGCTTAGCAGGCACCCTTCTCCAGCCCCTTCTGGGGCTGACCTTGGCAGCCCGACCTCCTAGAGAGCCTCGCTGTCCAGTGGAGGGACTCCTTGGGCAAATTGTGTAATGTGTTTCGGCTTCTGCGTCTATGAAATGGGAATAAAGAATGTGGATCTTGTAGTATTACCCTAGGCCTGAGTGACATGCTGTGCACGAGAGGCTTGTCCTTGTCAGAGTGAACTTGGAGCGTGGCAGGCCCCCATCGGGCGACGTCCTTCCCGACTGCAGTGCGGCAGCGTGCTCCCTCGCAGCCGGGCAGTCCGCGTGCTATCCCCAGAGCCCAGCCAGCACTCCTCGTCTTGGTCTTTCATTTTCCCTCACTCGGTCTTTCGCTCTCTGTTCAGTTTGCAAACCGTTCTCTTTGGAAGAGAATGAGATTTGAGGTTTGTTCCTTCATTCTCCATGTGTGTGGAGACGTTCTGTTTTGTCTAGGACATCCGCTCCGAACTTCATCTCCCAGGGGCCTTGTTTTTCCTGGTTCTGTTTGTATTTGTTTGTGGTAATAAACCCACTTTGCCACTTTGTCCTTTAGAATCAATCCCACGGGCTTCATTTGGAACCTTTCACATTTTGCTCTCACCATACACACATGAGGTTATGGAGTTGAAATGCGGATGGAAGGTGCTTCCAGTTCTGGAGCTGCAGGACCGGCTGCGCTCGGCAGCTCTGAAAGGACGCCTCAAGCCTGTGGCTCAGCCCTGCCACTGCGGCCACACACGCCCTGCGGCCACCTTTCTCTTTCCTAAATGAGTTTCTCTGTCTTCTCTCAGTTGCTCTTCTCTGTGGGAACCTGAGTGGCCACCGTGGTCAGTGTCTCGTCAGGCGTTTTGCTTTCAGCCAAACGAGCAGAACTCCAGCAGGTGTCTGGGTGGTGTGTCCCTGCGAGCGGCGTCCTCTGACTGAGCTGGTTTGGTTCCTGCCTCATTGGCTCCACCTGGCTGGTAGCCGCTCACACAAGGCCACGCCTCTGTTCCTGCTGTGCTTCAGCCTCACTCAGAGGCTTTTCAGCATGTTCTGTCCCTGTGGTTGCCAATTTTTCCACCTGTGTACTTGACAAGGACATACTTTGTCCTCCTCCTCTCTCTTCTTTTTCTTTTGTATTCAGAGACTCTCCATCTCTGTGTTCAAATATTTTAGTCCCATCCTACCAGTTCCTGGCAATGCACCTAAGCTGTGAATGTTAACATGAAAATGCCAAGTTAGTCGGACACCGGTGTCAGTGTTTCCCATTGTTCACCCAAGTGAGGGCTGTGCTGCGGGGACATTACAAACACAGCCTGAGCCACCATTCCCGCCTACCACCACCCAAGATAGGGAGTGGGGTCCTTCCGTTATCGGAGCAAGGGGTTGGTCCAGGCTGGCAGGGCAGGCACAGCCTCCTGTCATACCAAAAACAGGTGTGTTGCAGGAAACTGCCCAGTGCACTCAGTACAGTATGGCAGGGACAAAGCTCAAATGCACATGACCATTCACCCCTTTGTCAGCCATTCATCTCCCATGTTCACAGTCTGCCACATGCCAGCTGTGGTTCTGGGCGTTGAGGGCAAGCTCAGAAAATTAGTGCACCGTGGCAAGGGTGGTGGCGTAGACAGGCGTGCCTTGTTCTGGGTGTGGAGAGAATGGAAGCATGAGCTAGCCAGGAAGGCAGTGACATGAGGCTTCCTGGGATTGGTGATTCTGAGCTGAGACTTAAATGATAAATGGGAATTGGCCAGAAGGGAGGTTGGGGAGGAGGCTGGACGGAGGTGGGGATGGGCGTTCCAGGTGGCATGGTCTGCATGCCGCAGGCCCAGGAGGTGCTGTCTGGGGAGGGTAAGCAGGACACAGTGATGTGGTTGCTGGCAGGAGATAAGGAAGTAAGATTGGAGCAGGCAGGAACCTGATTACAGGGGGCCTTTCCCCTTCAGGAGAACACCTGGCTCCTGTTCCCGTGGTGAGTGGGTAGTTGAGTGGTGAGGGGCAGGCCAAGGGCGGGTGGCAGGGATGAGCCTCGAGTCTGCTGTCACGCGCCTAGACACCTGCCGACACCTTGGGAAGCAGCCTGGGCCCAAGGGGATGGGTGGAGGCAGTCTGGACATGGCCTCTGACTTCAGCTGTGAGGGCTCGGGCAGTCGGGACACAATGGGACGTGTGGAGAGCCTGCTTAGAGACATGGGGACCCTGGGGAACAGGAGCACTGCTGGAGCTGCATAGTCCGCTGGGGCCCTCCCATCTCTCGTGCCGCGTGTCTCTCTCTGGCCTCTGCTGCCAGCCAGGTTCCTCTGCCTGCCTGGGAGAAACTGGCCCAGCTCCCCTTTCACTCGCCACCAGCCAGGCACTGTGGTCGGGGCGCCAGGTCCCGTGAAGAAAGCAGGGCAGCTTGGCTGTCCCATGGCCCCACCGAGAGGACGGCTATCAATTACCACCCTTAGCATGTTCTCACCACTCTTGGCTGAGTGTGCAGTTCCCTCTCAGACCATATCAGGAAAGAGGTGGTGACATCCAGGAATAAAAGGACTCCAGCATCATCTGGGGACAGGTGACATGCCAGGGATAAGAGTAGCCCAGCCTGGAGGCCTGGCATTTGGTTCCTGGGCAGCAATGAGGACGTGTGCCTGTGGTGTCCCCATCGGCTCTCCCCTCCCCCCTCACCTGAGCTTCCTGCCGCATGTCACAGTGGGAGGGGCTGGCTTCCCCGTGCAGTGCTGGGTCCAGGTCCTGGCGCCGCCCAGCACGACTTGTGGCTATGGCAAGGTACTTACCCTTCTTCAGGAATACGTACGCCTACACCCCCATCCCCTGCCACCCCATCTCAAGCCACCCCATAGCACACACCTGGCACAGACTGACCTGATGGACTCTGAGCAGAAGAGGCAGTTGTGTGGCCGTGGTCCCACCCAGCTCTCCCACTGGAGAAAGCCTTCCTGTAACTCCAGCCTCTTCCTAGGGTGCTCTGTGTGCTCTTTCTCTAACTGAACCCTCCATGGCCAACCTTCAGAACTGAAGGGCTGGTTCAGTAAGTGGTAATGTCCCCTTGCTCCCAGCTGCCCCTGTCCCCTGTGCATAACGTCTCCTCCAAGCTCAATCCCATCCCTGTGTGCTCTGTCACTCTCTGACACTTTTTTTTGTTGCCATCTCTCTCCATTGTGGACACCTCCCTTCTTCCGTGGGTACTTTGGACCTTCTCTGCTCAAACCTCCTATTCATGCTTTCCCACGCCACTGTCAGCAGATGATAACATGGTACCTGCTTCCACACAGAGCAGAAGCTGCCTGCAGTGCGTGCCCCGTCCCGTCCTCCTGCACACTCGGGCGGCCCCTCTGACCAGCTGGCGGCCATCTCTGGTGCCTTCTTGCGCTTCAGGCTCTGCGTGCAGCAGTGGAGTCCAAATGCCCCGCCTCATCGAGCCACACACTCCCCCAAACCCCTCTCATTCTCATGTGTCCGTCCCTGCCTGTGACACACTCAGGCGTCCACATCC